TTTTTCAGCTAAAAGGCCACAAATGATGCATTCCTCCATCATGCGAACATTGTTGTCAGACAAATCTGCATAGAATGCACCATATAGCCAAAGCAGTGCTTTGTTCACACCATCAGGATTTGAATTTGCATTTTCATGTGGCAGAGAGCACAGAAACAAATGATTCGTTAATCCACCACTGTAATTGTAAAAAGCATATTGGTTAAAATAAACACTCAAACTTTGATTTCATCTCTTCTGAGTGGTAAGTTTATCAACAAAAGAGCAAAGATAGACAAGCATAGAGGTAAGATCAGAGCATTGGTTAAATAAATATACAAAATAAGCCCATTCTTAAATTAATCATATCTTACAAGATTTTTTCTTCCGGAAATTAATTTCTAAATCAAAGGCACTATTATGAAGGTTATTTTGCATATAAAACAAGGATGCTTATTTTACTTCAAGTATGTATTTTGCCTCCACCCCTGAACAGAAGTAAAACAACTTTGAACAAGAAAATATCAGACATAAGAAATATGAGACATGGAAGTTGGAAATTACAAAAAAAATTAGCTGCACTTAAGAAATTTTACCACTTTCATGGACAGACACCAGAGAATTCTGCAATTGCAGAATTCAGTGTTTATTTGGCTGGCATAATTGCTGGAGAAATTTCTGCATATTAAGATGAACCTGGACTTTAGGTGTGGCCTTTTACACACCCAAGATATCTTTTTGAAATCCATCACACTTTGCAATCTGCAGCCTTGCTAAACTGCAGAAAATCTTTCATATTGCATCGAAACATATAAATCTTGAGAAGAAATTTAGTGTGGCAGCAAACACAAACAGCCCAGTACTCTTTAAAATGTTGGCAATAGACATATAGAGAATATTTTCACCTTAAATATCATTGAGAACATTTTACCATTAAATAAATGTCGCCGCATCTAAACAATATAGTTCTTACAGATACGTATTTGAAAATTGTACTTACTGAATTCGTTCAATTTCAAAATGTTGTGGACTGATTTTCTTCCATTCCCCACCGAGATATTTTCGACATAAATTATAGCCGAAATCTTTGATCTTAGCGTCAACCATTTTTCCAGTAAGAAAATAATTTTTCAAACTACGCAGAACTTTGTAGTGAAGCATGGTCGAAACCAGCCAAGCAACAACGCAGTCATTTTAGTGATGGCTTGAGAAATGTGTCGAATTTACTCAGGAAATGACAACAATCACTGATTCTACGGTCGTTGAAGGTCGATCATGAGGTCGTTCGGTAAAATGAGGTGTAAAATTGCAAGAACTTTGCACAAAGTACATGCAACAAACGACATGTTCAACGTAAACAAAGCTTTAGCCATGTGATACTTATTCATTCTTGCACAGAAGGCGGTCTACCATTTCCTGTTATGAAGTGACGTGTAAACTTCATACGTCAATATCACAAAATCATATCCAACAAAACTAATCCTGAAAACGCAGAGCCAAAGGACTTCTAGAAAACGATTAACATGGTAGTGAAATGTGCTTTTGACTCTGAAAATGACTACCGCTAAGGTCGTCGAAACGTCAGTCAACAACAACAAAAACAGTCCTTCTCAGGACTATACCAACCTGGACGATCTACATTTACAAACTTGTAACGATACTCCCGGCTTAAAACCATTTACTTGGAATGTTCATTGCTTACAGTAATAAAATTAAGTAATTAAATTATCATTGTTTATTAGTAATTGTAATATTACAAATTATTAGTGATAGCAAGAAATGTACTGTAACCAGTGGCGTAGCTAACAATTACTTTAGACGGTGCTGATAGATAAATTTTCCTGCAACAGGGCGTGGCAATTTGGGCATAGCTAAAAGAAATGTATTTTTTAAAAATGAGGTTTAAAAACTGTGTACAAATGATTATACATACGGATATACCACTTTTAAATAAACCAAGTGCAACAAATGTGAAATAACAAATAATTATAAAAAAATTCTTTTAGTTTCCTCGTTCAAGAAAGGCATTTGAAGTTCTCGAATGGAAATTTTCGAATTAATTTCTCGCGGTTGATGGAAATACACGCGAGATTCAAAAGGCGTTTTTCTGTCATAGTACTGCCTATCTGTTTTTTATCGGAAATGATTAGTGACATTTGGAGAATAAGGAAATTTGATGGACACTAAACTTAACACGTGAATATCTTTTACAATTTGCTACCTACTTATAAATTACTGCAAAGAATTTGATAAAAAAAAACTTTTACAAATGGCACACAATCTATAGCTATTAATTTTATTGGTGAGAATGGATTTAAAGTCCAAATATATTTTATTTTTGTTGTACAATTGAATAAATAATCACTTTCATCACTGGCGCTGAATTTTTGTGAAAACAATCAAAAAAAATTTTATCCAATCTAAATGAATGAGAAAACAATTTTAGCCGATCTGCATCGCGTTTTAGCATTCAAAAATATGACCAATGCTTAGATAAGTGTCCTAGCATAGGTTTTGAGAAATATTTGGTACAAAACCTAAAAACATTCGCATTTTTTATATGCATGGAAATACATTTTAATGTAAAAAAAACTGCAAAATGCAGTAAAATTATTCATGACAAATGAGATGTATTTTTCGTGGTCTTCCATGTACTTATAAGATATTTATGGTTTTGTGAAAGTGTTTCTGTTAACAGTCGTTAATTTGTATTGAGAGTTGCCTACCTTGTCAAAATATAAGACCTTTTACACCATATAAACGTGTAACTCACGCGAGATAGTCCACGTAACAAACATTGCATATAAATCAAGAAATATACTTACTACATATATCGAATGTATAAAAAACATAAACAGATTTCTGGGCCGCCTATGGTAGGACATACAATAATAGAAAGTTTCTACCTGTGAATGAAAGTGAACTAATATCTTTTACGATCTCAGGGCGAAGCTGCCAAATTCTCTGTTGGTCCTTGTACAATTCCTCGTCAATGACATTACTTATAGTACTCTTCTCATAACACTCCATCCGTATATACAAATTTTGCAGAGAACACTTTGAATCTTATTGCAAATCTCTTGTGGTGATTGCTTCCTCTTCACTTTCGAAATCAGATTCATTGTCCTAAAGCAAAGACACTGGTATGTATTTTTTCATGTCTTTAGCAAGATCATGAATAATTCCCACTACTATATACCACGTGAGCCAACGACCTTTGAAAGTGTAAGTATGATGTATCGATATTTCTTTTGAACAATATCTCCAGAAGACTCGGTGTTGTTACTCGATTGTTTTGGTATTGCAGCCTCGTCTTCGCCAGAGCTATAGAGCTTTTATCGTCTTCAGAGCTATAGAGCTTTTATCGTCTTCAACATGGTTGGAATCAGTGGCGTAACTAGAACGTTAATTGGTGGGGTGCATATTCATATATTCCGCTGTGCCCTACCGACTTCTTATGAAAGTGATTTGGATTTCAAAAAAAGTCAATAGAGCAAAACTGAATATATGAATATACACCCCACCCCACACCTTAATTAACGTTCTAGTTACGCCTTTGGTTGGAATCATTCGTATTTTCATTGGTCCACGGTCATCATCCCAAACTCTTAATTGTACGCTAGATGCTTCAACTACGTTCAATTTCATCAAGTTTTCTTCAACCTACAAACGACTTAATTACCAATAACTTAACAACGAGTTACTTAAAACATACCCACGTGTTACCAATATCTCAACGAGTTACCAATAACATACCAACGAATCACCAACGAGTTACCAATAACATACCAAAGAATTACCAACGAGTTAAAAATAACATACCAACGAATTACCAACGAGTTACCGCTAGCAACCTACTTTTTAGTCTACATAGCTACATTGCTTAAAGCTCAATCACAAATTTGCGAACTATTCTCAACACAGTAAAAAGTTCATCAAAAAGATATGAAGCATTTTAAACACTAAAACGGATATAAGTCAAAATGTAAGAAATCATAGACAGCTGCAGCTGCTTTTCTTCTTCAAGGGGATAAGAAGGAAATTTATATTTTGATACAAACACGCAACATCTGAAAGCTCAGATACTGATCTTTCACTATGCTAAAAAATCACGGAAACTTACTTAGTAATTTTAGTTATGCACAAGAGCGAGCTGAAGTTGGGTTGCCTTTTTGCGATACGGTTTTAGTAAATACTATACCAAGTCCAAAAAAAATCCATCTGCCAATCAATCAACACGAATAAAGACTGTAGAGATTTATTTTATTGTAAAGACTATAAGCAACAAATTCTACGACAAAATACATAATGTTCACTAAAGATATATTCATTATCGTCATGAAATCATCACTTAATTAAAAATTTCCTGATGGTTTCATTTTCATTTCAGTGAATTTTAAAGAATACGAAAATCCTTTCCAATCTTTCCAAACAACACCTTTGTACCAAGATGCAGAAGGTTGATAATTGCCATCATAATAATACCCATTTAGGTTGGAATCATAACAATAATAATACCACCAAGCACCTTTAGCATGTACAGTGCAGTTTCCTACAACATCTCTAATGCGAATAGTGAAACTAATATTAGCATTAACTAACACAAACACTATGGGTGTCAACACATCACGACCATTATTATTATTATTATTATTATTATACAATATTTATACAGTATTTTTCTTCAGGACAGAACACTGTCATCAACGAAATAGCTGTATAAATACATATAAATAAAACTTAAGACATACTTTAAAAAATTACAATACTAAAATAGTAAGACTAAACCAAAATAGTAAAAAAACAGTAACTCTTACACGAAGACAAACATCAACACTAAGAAAACACCAGCACTATGACGAACACTAACACTGATATTAACACATTACTTAAACTTTGACAAATATTCACATTTTTCCTGTTCAAGTGATCACATTTTTCGTTACTATTTCCTTCACGTATAACCTTATTATTAATCACAACATCACATTTTGAATTTTCAAAAAACGGCACACCATTTATAATTTTTTTACCTTAAAGCACACTGTATTCTATGTTTTGTATTTTGCTTTCCAATCAAGTAGATTATTTAAAAAAAAATTCTTAAGTAAGAATTCTTTATAATATTTGTGACTATTTCACACAATTTCTACCCATCTCCTTTATGTCATAATGTTTATATTTATATCTATTTGATGTCTACCTTTATTCATCTTTATGTCAATCTATCTTTGTGTCTTTCTTCGTGTTTATCTACCCTGATATGTCTACATTTATGTCTTACTCTATGTCTATCTTTATGTATACCTTCATTTTTTATGCAATATCAATATAAATTTACAAGATGTAAGGACTTCAAAATGTTCAGACTTAAGTCTGAGGGGGTGAAACTTCTTGGATCACAATTCGAGAGACTGAATTCCATCCACTGTTTGCATAAACAGCGCTTCCTTGATTGCAATCGCCGACACAGAAGCCAACATTAACTGTACCATTGTTAATGTTGCCACAATATCCCTCTATATGACGATGACGATGAATATTTTGTGTTAGTCTACCTTTCCACATGTAGAGGACGCCTTCAATTGTTGGACTACATTCATTTCCATTGAATTTAAAGTACCATCGTTTGCAACAATCGTCACAGTAAGAAATACGGAGGTTACCACCATAGAACACACGAAGGTACGTGTTGTTACATTTTTTTAAAAAACTACAAGACTAGAAAAACAAAACAAGCAGAATATGAAAAACATTTTCCAATGCATCATTACATCTAATATGATGAATGCCTTACATAGGTCCGTAGCAAGATCTATGATTGGGGGAATCATATTTGTATACGTCATAACCTGTAAACAATTGTTTTAAAGGACTTTATTAACTCGGCACATCATGCATATACGTGTAGTTATGAGACCCCTCCCCCTCCCAATTACCAAGCTTGCGACGAAACTCTTAGAAACTTGCAGTATACAGGCTGTTAAAAAAAGTAGGTTCTTGAAAAAATTCTCTAAAACAAGACGACGTGTTCTTTCTTCATATTTAACTTTCTGCTACAGCCTTTTTCCTTATGCTTGCATTCATATCAATGCTTATGTCACATGCGTGCTTTGATGATTGTCTTTGTTTGCACAAAAAATAGTAAAATTCAAAATGTCAAATGTGTAGTTGTTAATTGGAAGATATATCGTTTAAATCCTTTACATTTGTCTTCAACAGTAAGCCAGTAGTTTTTTGCATACCAAAAGATATACTCAGTCTTTCATTTTGCATGATATTGCGTATGTCGAATTTAAGTTCAGTAGCGTATCCGACTAATCCAAGATCCCTCTTTCATAAGAGTCATTGAATGTTATAAAAGCATCTACTTTCAGTAGCACAACAGCAAAAAGTTAAAAATAACAGAAATGATGAGACGCAAAATTTTGTGTTATCAAAACAATAAGTTCTTAAAATACTTGTTTTTAATGAACTGCCAAATGAAAATGTACAATTTGTTATATATATTCTAAAACAGGTGCATTCTAGTCATAATGACGTTTAATTATTTGTACGTGACAGAAAAATGAAAGAGGCTTTTATTTGCAATTTTTAAGTTCGCGAGACAAAAAGTTTATGAACAAGACATATCTAAGCAAAGTAAAAATTAGCATGCATGCTCTATTCTGGAACCGTTATTCAGCATACGTACATGTTCTTACTGACGAGTCAAATCTGCCAAAAGGATCTTTGTTTGTCGGCATATATATGCATGTCCATGTGATAAAATTATAAGAAGTATTTGATAAAGATAATGTCTCAAAACTTAGACGATTCAGATTTAGAAGCAATGGATAATAAACAAGTTACTTCATAATTCGGATTCACAGCTACCGCAATAAAGAGCTGATATCCTTAAGTTGAAATGATGTGGAATGTCTTTTACGACATTAGATTCTTCTAGGCAAATACTGAATCATCAAATTGCATTGGAATTTTAAAGCATGCATACAAAAGATACAAAATTTATTTTTTCTTTTCTGTTTAAGCCGTGTTTCCACTTAGAGATTTAGATGCTCACTTTAAGAATGAATTGAGCTGTTACGATGACTTGTGATGAACTGTCACAATTTTATGACTCATTTGATCGACAAATCGATGTTAGTGATCAACTTCTACTCTTTTTAAACCATTAACTTAACAATATACAGTTTTAACAACTTTTAAATGCATAGCTACGCACAATAAAAACTAAGCATGCAAAATTACCAAAAATTACGAATATTACGACATCTGAAAATTACAAGAACTTGTGACATTTTGTTGGAAAGTCATTAATGTTGAGCATAAAAACATAATTTTTTTCTCGTATCTTTAAACTTTTAATCCTAAACTTCGAAGTGTTTGTTGACAGTTATTATCTGCTTGTATCTCCCTATATTGTGAACATAATCCCATTCATAAAAACACTTGCAAAAATTTCATTGCCTACCTCATTCAACGCATTGCAAGCTGCAATTAGAAGAAAAAATAAGAGAATGTGCGCAACCATCTTTCACGAAAGAACGTTAACTCTTAATATTTGAAAAATCGCTTGCACTGCGTCTTAGTGTAAATAACGGCTGCAACGGAAAACATACTAGAGCTGTGTTTATTTGTCTTAAATATACAATGCGCACTTTACATAAGCGGGTACATCATAAAAGTTAATTATTATTCAATATTAACAGTTTCAATTTTACAAAAATATTTCTGCAACGAATCATTGCCAGACAAATTTGGATTATAATTATGTAGGAAATTTGCTTTCGTTATTTAACCTCTACATGCAACACGTTATAACTATTTACAGCTCTTTCATCGTTTTACTCACACGCATAAAAATATGTATAAAGCGACAATGAAGATCAATTCGACAAGAATTGAAAACTGTTTGATTCGAAAAGTTGTAAATTATTTACATTGAATTAATATCCTACAAAACACACTTATAGTGATGGTTAGAGTTTAGAAAGGCATGGTATACATTAATTTTCTTTTTAATAAATTTCACCCTACAACGACATGGAAAACGTTGTGTTACAAAAACAACAATAACCCTTAGGAAATATCTGGGGAGGGTTGCAGGAAGCCAGCATAGCGTTATCCATTGAATAATAATTTTTTTAAACTTTTAAAAAAAGTGGTTTTATTTTGTTTTCGAAAATGAAACTTTGTAATTCTAGAACCAATATTTTATTTCATTCATTGTGCAGTTCAAATCGCACATTTTCCCCTTTTTGCTATCAGTGGATAGTGCTATTTGCCTTCTTGCAACCAGCCCCTAAACAAATTTATGTGAAAAAGTCATGCCATGACTGTTCAATGTCATGCCCGCATGTTCTATAGATTTCTCTTGTTTTAAATTGCTAAGTTTTTGTATTTATGACTTCATGATATGTTTCAGATGATTTTGAAGTTGATTTTGAACCACAAACAAAGAAGGCGAAGCATAAAGAGAAGGAAATGAACAAAGAGAAGAAAGGCGAGAGAAGGTGTGACCCAAAAATAGATTTTTAATTTTGGCTAAAGGGCATCATGCTGTTTTATACATATATTATAGTAGATCTCTAATCCTTTATTAGCCTTTGTTTTGCCATGTGTAATCCAATGTACATACTAATTTCTTCAATGTGTGATACAACAACGTCATGAGATTTTTTTCTATTTTAAGGCCTTCCGTTCGTGAAAAGTTGTACCAAAGAGATATAGAAAAAGCAATTGAAATGTCACTAATAAATACACCTTATGACAGAAAGGATAATGATGTTGGACAAAATAAAAGCAGTCATATCAAAATAAATAGTGAAGGTATCGGTATGTAAAATTATAAATGAAACTGTGAAAAGTGATTACATCATGAAAGTGGAAAAAGGTTGGGAAGCTGCCCTAATCTACGCAGTAATGAAGTAAATCCAATTCAAACAATGATTTTAGAATTTTTAAAGTTTTTCATTGTTAAGCATTTTATAATGCTGTCTTACATTGACCTCAAATTCACATTTTTAGTAAGACTTTTTTCCCAAAGCCCTTAATTTTAAACTCATAATGTTTACAGAGTAATCAGTCAAAAGCACAAGTTTTGAAAATGACAACTTTGTTATACTGTCCTAAATGAGGACAGAGAAGGATTTTCTCAGAGTTTTATAAACTAGTCACCACTCTTAGTGGTCTGAATTTAACTGTCGAATTTGGGCACATAGTAGCATATATCCATCAATCACAGTTATAACTGGGTAGTCTTAAAATTAGGAATGTTTAAAAGTGCGGACATATGACGGTGTGTATGGATGAAGGTGTGTATGGATGAAGGTGTGTATGTATAAGGGTGGGTATTTATAAAGTTAAGGATGTATCAAGTTGTGGATGCATGAAGGTTTGGATGTACGATGGTGGGGATGTATGAAGGTATGGTGGGGATACATAAAGGTGAAGTGGGGATTTATGAAGGTGGTGATGTATGGATGAAGATAGTGATGTACATATGAAGATAATGATGTGTTGCATGTAGTACTACTTTTAATGGTGTGATGAACTTTCTAATTGACTTTTTGCATGGTATTGTAGTGTGTGATTCAAAATGAAAATACATGATCATTATTATGTAAGATGCAGTACCATGTACATATAATGCTGATTGCTCTCTTACTCATTTAATCTAATTAAGATGATGGTGCACGTGACACCTGCGATGCACGTGACACCTGCGATAAGAGTAGTGCTAAATTGAACAAGATTCATGACAATGATGTCGAAAGTGATTCCAATGAAGAGAAAATTGTGAACCTGAAGAACGGCAAGAAAATGTCTGGTGGGAGTCTTATGTTTTCCGGTAGGCTTTTTTTTGTATTTATAAAAATTGTCATTGATTTCAAGTGTCCTATTTGCATATAATGAAATAACCAAAATGCAGTTGGCATGATTATACAATCAAAATATCAAAACAGTTTGATACATACGTAGTTGCATTTGCTCGCAGCTTGTCTTTTGTGTTATTCTT